TAGCTCCCGGCAGTATAAACAAGGTTTTCGTTGTTTGAACGATACGATACAAGAAATAACAGCTAGAAACTGTATTTCTAAAACTAATGGCTTACTTTACTTAACAGTGACTTTACTCTGCGCTAAGATCAATTTCCCTTTTCATAGGTCATAAAGCCATATTTGCGTCGAACAACGTCAAACCGCTTTTAGTAAGAAAAACGTTAAATACAATGCTTTCAATTTAATTGGTTTTAAAGACGGCTTCTTTCATATCCGTTCAAAATAATATTTACAGCCAAATAAATAGTGGTCGCTCTAACAGCTGTTCKATAGTTCTTAACTATAACACAAATTTCAACTAGTTGTACTTAGCGAAGTATWTTCGACTAAATCCTGACTGTATGTAGTTTTATCCACGTCTGCATATTCGTTGCTATCAGATTTTTCTTCAGAAGATGATTTAGGTTGATAAAAATCGCCATCTGTGCTTGATTCACCTTCAAAGGGCTCAATAGAGCATTCTGCACCCACACCGTCTTGCCTTGGGCCAGCCAAGTCTAGTTGACTTTTTCTTAATTCGTGAATTTCATCGCTAATACTTTCCAGTTTTCGCAGCGAGCTTGAGTAGTTATRCTTGGAGTTTTTCAACCGACTTTGTAAACCTAGGATTCTTTCTTTATGTTCCTGTAGAAATGATAAAATGGGAATTACATTAGTGGGGGGCCTATTATAGCTATGTTGTTGATTTTTAAGGTTGATTTTCGGTATCGCTCTTTTTTTGAGACGGTTTACGGTTGTGAAGACATTGTTAGTTTGCAGATTTGCCGATTTTCTAACAATAGGGTTTCAATAACTTTAATATGCGGTTTCGCGGTATGACAGCCCCCCACCAATACGCCCCCATCACTGAAAATGAACAGATACGAGAATACGATGATAAGAAATATAAACGAAAGAATAAACGAAAGAAAATAAAAAAGAGAGAAGGACAGATAAACAGAAAAAGCAAAAGCAAAAAAACTCAATTCAATGAAAGCAAGGAAAATAATCAAATAGAAGGCAGACAAACAAACAGACTGACGCACAGAAAAAGAGCAAGCAAAAACCAAATGAACTAATTAAAAGGACAGATAGAAAGAAAGAGAATAACCAAATGAATGAATGAAATATAGAATAAACAAAGAAATGGGAAATAGACAGAGTACAAACAGAAAATAAAAAAATAAAAAAATGAATGGAAAATAGAATGGATTATGAAAAGAGTTACGAAGACACACTGACAGATGGAAAAAGTAAAAAAAGAGAAACAAAGCACAAACAAAAATAACTATAGAGTAATTTTCATATTTCAGCAAACACATTTTTCCATTTATCRATATTGTTCTTCAGCTGTTAAGCTGCTATTTTTTCACAGATATTTATCAATGTTAAAAAACATGACACATAATCAAATTTTTGTACGTACTTACCTCTAAAACATCCATATACTTATCTCTTAGATCGTAATAGACTCTAGAGATATAAGAAAACAGTTCATTTACTTAAGGGTTTAGAAATAAAAGCTTAAAATGACATTCACAATCTACCTTGATTTATTAATGGCTGATTTTAGTTTTATTTTCATCTCAGATATTTCTTTGTTGGCCTGCGTAAGTTTTTGTGCTGTATGTAAATGTTCTCTTTCACTTTGCTGCTTTTGAAGCTCGGATTCCATGACCTATTTTGATAAAATCAGTTAATGCATTGAGCATGCATCAATGGGGGGATTGACGCAAACCCAGTACTGTTTGACCACCACACAACACCATTCCCCTTACCTCTATTTTTATTTTAATAAAAGTTTTTTTTATTTTTATTTTTATAATCCTGATGTAGTCAATCAATATTATTGGGGGTGATCACTTAATACAATGGATGGTAAATGGTATCAATACCTTGAGAGCTTTTATGGTGTATATTTTTAAGTTCTTGTCTTTTGTTACTTTTTTTCTTGAAGACTCAGATTTTTTTATCGCGGGGACACCCAGCTATCTCAAGTAAACAGAGCCTGGAATAGTTTATCAATGAAAATTTTTCTCTTCAGGGTTCCTTTATAACACTGAACAGTATATGGTACCGGTATATGTCTTATCAAATGTCATAAACCAATCACTGACATTAACAGAAACCATAACATGCATGATCGAGAAGAGTCAAAAAGTGTAATGTCTTAGGCTCAGTGTCTTAATATCACTAATCTTGGATTCGACCATTTATTACAACAGAGCCTGCACTGTTGCTGATCTTGCTCTTATAYATGACATTATTTTGTTAAACCAACAAGAAAAAATGTTATAGTTTTGCAAATAATGTTCGATTTACATACAACTTAAATAAATAATTAATAAATACAGTACACRCTAACTCACTTTCATAATTGCTCTATTCAACATTTCTTGCCATGTAGGGTCTAAKGTTTTATGTTCTGTTGACGATGATTCTAACTTCTGCTCTGCATGGGCCACAGCTAATTTGGCTGAYTGATGCTGACTGCAGGCCCTCTCATAATTGAGCGCTGCTTTTTGAGTTTCCACTTGAAGCTGATGAAGACAGGTTTCACTTTTCACATATAGCAATGTAACTCTTTGGGARGTTTACAGAGAAGTAGTCTACAGAGTAAAGCCACTTTTCGGTACGAAAGAAGAGAGTGACTATGTTCATGTAGCTTGACAAATTTCTATCAAAATTTTTTCATTCATGTTTTTTATACCATTTTTGATAATATGATTTTTCTTTGCGCATGTAGTAATGTAGCAATAACAAAACGTCAGTGACCAGTCATGAAAAAAATGAAAGAGATGGAAAAATATAAGATGTGTCAACGACACTTGATCTTTTTTTTGTGCCAAAATGCTTTCAACTAATTAAAAGTCTCGGTGTGGGCAAATGCTAAATTATCCCATTTCCGCAGTCAGGAGGCTCTAGAGAATAAATCTATTGCGACAGATTTGCGCGGCTGTTGCTAACCTKTTTTGCGTAGTCCAGTTTTTCGTAGTAAGGCCTAGAGTGCTTCACACTTTTTCCTAGCATGTTGGCTTGTGTTTTCAGCACAAAAGCCGATTCAGTGAGGGTTTGTCTGAATACTGCATGCATCTCCTGTTGAAAGGAAATACGCATTTATTGACAATTTATCGGTATTTGGAAGGAAGTCCTTGGGACTTAGCAATTATCCCCTGACACCTAAAACATTTTACGGTAAAATTTATTTACAATTCTTTGCATTGAATTAATCTCCGAGAAAATTGAAATTTTTTTTTTACTTGCAACTTTAGCTATCGAATAACTTCTTCCATTTTGATCACAAACTTATAAAAAGTGAACACATTTTCGAAAAATAACAGAATAAAAACTGAAATGAGACGAACATTCGTATTTAGAAATATTCTGATGAAGTTTCTATTCAATTATTGCTGCGAGCTAGATTCGAATGTCCCTTTTTTTACCTCGAGTTCTTGTTCAACATCATTTATCTCCGCTGTCGCCGTATTGAGACTTTCAAGCTCTACCTAAAGTTAAGAAAAGAATTAAATCACGTATAGATACAGCCCTTCAAACATACTTTTGTCTGCGGCTGTCTTAGTAAACAAATGGCCCATTTTGTGCGACATGTACCTTGACTCTAGGATCCAACATTTCGACGCTTTCTTCCTCATCGCCACTATTCCCCTCAGATTGTACCTCGTCATGCGTCTGAGGGGAAGACATTTTGAACTTTCAAGCTGTAAAACGAAATACCTGGCGTAGAACCATTAGTATATGTCTCGTAGGAGACGCTGAACGTACCGAATGAGCCAATTGTGTATATGCAAATAAAAGGGTCATGCGATGCATCGTCCTCCCCACTCTACCCTACAGGGGAGAAAAAAAWTGTCGCGAGGAACGCCTAGGGCTTCACAGTATTTAGGTTTGTATTTTTATAGAATCCTTGTCCTGTATTCAAGTTTATTATGTCTTTTATGTGTTAAAAATACGAAAATTTTACTCATTTTATTTTTCTTGTCATTTGCATATTTTTATKTCATTTTTTACTTGTTAGTTGTTTGAGTTTGCAGCCAAAAATAGGATTATGTTATGTACCAATCAATGTATTAAACCCCCGCACCCCCAAGGCCAGGACATGCATAGCGCGGCATTAGCGGGGAATTTTCAATTATTTGACAATATCACGCCTTTCAAGACCACGGCTATCGGGGCTTTTGAAAGGTTTTTGAACAAAATACTGATAATCAGCCGTGACTTCAGCCTCGTCCCTTAGGGCCTTCTCTACTCGCAGAATGGCGGAGGCTCATAATATGCTAACTAAATCGTCGGTAAAGGAACCTACTTAGGACCTACAAACACTTTACGTAGATTTCTCACTATAAGGTTACAGAGATTGATGAATAAAACTGATTGATCAAGTGGATTAATTTTATATCGCTTCACTTCACTGTTTGTTGATTTGCAAAGGAGTAGTGAATTTAGCCGGGTCGCAAGTAGAACAAAAAAATGCCCCTGTATGCAGTGCAGGGGTTTACATTGACTGGTGCATTAGATTTTGTCTCTTATCAATTCTAGTCAAATTTTTTAGCTACTAGCATAAAAAGCTATATTGCTATCGATAATCKGCGAYGACTCCCTGTATCTAGACGTAAAACATGTCTTTATTTATTTGAAAAAGGTCAGTTGTGGTTTCTTAAGTTTATTCRCACCCTTATAATCTAAACCAAACATTCATATCAAYCCTCCCAAAAGCTGATGGCAAGYAACCCTCCCTGTRCCMCATTTGGGAGTTGCCCTACCCCATCCTGACCCCATCAGCAGAATCAAAATGGACCCCTTCCAAATACCAGCATCCTCATCATCCACTTTGAAAATAAACTGTACGCAGACTAAAAGAAACAATGCTCAATATAAAATCAAGTTTTGTACATTTTTAATCAAATTTTATAACTAAATCAGAACATATTTAGAACATTCAAGTCTAAGGCCTAAGTGTTCATATATATTAATTACCTGAATGATTCCTGTCTCAATTCAGAAACTAGAATACAGAATAAAAAGAAAAGAAGAGAAAGAAATAAAGAATTTGTAGAACATGACTATATGGACAATTAGGCATTAAAACAGGTGTACAACGGTTTTTGCATTTAAAAAGTTTCAATCAAAACACTAAACATGTACATCAACGTTTCACTAATTTACACTCTTTTGGAAACAACAWTTACTGGCTATCTAAGCACTAATAAGTTAGAATAACATCTGAGAAAGCAGACTTCCAATGCTTAGCTGTATATAAAAATAAAATAAAAAAATAACATATAATGGAGAAATTGTAAAAATATATACATGCATTAATGAAAAATAAACTATTTGATGCAAGGGGAGTGGAGAAATGATATTTAGATGRTAAATGACAGAAAACCAAAACGTGGATTAAATATGTACCACTCAGGATAATAGWATATTTTCAAAATGTGTGGGTGTTTTMAAMAAATTATGTCTAGCACAAAAAAACAACGGTACTTTTTCAAGTAAGTGCTTTGGAATGTTGCCTGTGTGGCAACAATATTTCAAAAGCATCCACACTTATAGAGCCATCTTAAATCCCTACACATCTTTGGGAGACTGATGACTTTTAAGTAAGGAATGAGAGATATTTCTGCATGTCCTGATCTCCCTCAAGGTCCAATATTATATTATTAAGGGCTCCATTGGGCTTCAGAGGACAATATTCCCACAAGAACAAAAAAATGTTTTCTATCATTTAGCATCTGTAGTTACATTCAATTAACTTTTTACAATAATATCAATCTTTTATATCAACAAAACAATATAATGTTAAATTAATTATTACACCTACGAATTTATCATTAATATGAAAGCTGAAAAAAATACTTAATAAGGCAAAATACACCTTTTTGCATCCATTCTCAATAAGCCTCTCAAACATTAATTTGAGATGGCTATAAAGAGGATGGCTATATTATTGATCTATACTCGGAATCTGGCATGTGCTGAATTCAAAACCTATGAAACAGGCCTAAGAAACAATGCAAAATTCACTAAAATTGAACAAGCAAATAAAAACACTTCAATTCTATAATTTATGGCATCTTTAGCTACAACAAATTTTAAATTCATGATTTAAAATGACTTATGAAAAAAAAAACAATTCCACAAGTCTTTTTAATACTATTTTATAATATCATTATTATCATTATTATTATTATTTTAATAGCATTACTTTTCACTCCTAGTTGATGTGTTTGTAATCTGTCACTATATTGAACTGAACCAATCTTGGTAAAATAGTTTTTCAAAGATTTCTTTCTTCATACATCAGTAGAGAAGGTGAAGGGAATCCATGAAACAAATAGTCTCCTTCAYGGTTCCCTGCACCATCTTGAAAGGTAGCGTGCCTTTACATCGAGGTGAGACTAGAGTTGAGCGTGGAATGATAGAAACCTGAGAATATTTGTCTGTAGGTGTGAATGAAGGTTTCTATCATTGCACACTTAACCGTTGTCTCGCTTCGATGCAAAGGCATGGCTACCTTTCAAGATGGCATAGGGAACCGTGAAGAAGACAATTGTACTAATTACTTCTAAACAGTGTTGATTAAACAATAGAAACAAAGGAATTAGTATAATTTAGAATCTTAGCGATTATGAATTTTTWATGGCTTTGTGTTGCCCAGGAAAAAAAMACAACAACAAAAAAGCCCATTCGACGAGGCCAACCTGCTTCATACAATCAGCCCCTCTACTCTATCTCAAATACGTCATATACCAAGTGATAAACTTTTGCAATTCGTTCCTCCATAAAAATAGCTTTAAGTTATTGTAAAGTACACTTTTCATTTCTCCAAAACATGACAGAAAATTGTTAGTTCAGTTAACTAACAACTGTCTGTATTAAGGCTATTTAAGTCCAGTTAACAGTCCAGTTATAACAACTGTCTAGTACATAACCAGATGTCTTGATGTAAAGTCCTGCAATCCTTGATGGAACATACTAATTCAGCTGAACAGACCATCCTTATTCCACAATATTTCTCATATGGGTAAAGTCCTTTTAAATGTTATTATTTTTGCTATTAGGTACCATTAATTTCTGTCCACTTGCAAACKTTCAATTTCTTAAAAACTGCGCCATATTTCTTTCATAATCTTCTTCAGAATACCTATCATTTTCTTGACATTYAATCATATGTTTATAYCATGGRAATGTTGTCCAAAGTTAYGTTTCAAAAGGTTGTTTTTCCTTTTTGGATTCCTGCATCATTTCTTCTCTCTCTGCATCAGTGATGTTTCCATCAAACTTTTTTCTTCTAAAGAATCCACACTAGAAGAAAGAGAAGCAATTTATTAGTCACCTTRAAATTAGAGCATTTTTTCCATCCACTTCTGAGAAAAAAGTTCTCTGTTTTCAGGGTAGAAATAAGTAAAGTAACAAAACTACACTAGGTAAAGTAAAGTGCATTCACTCATGAAACATAAAAAGAACTTAAATATAGACTTAAATATGGACTTAATTTATCACAAAATCCTTTTCCTTCTTTAGTTAAAGTAGTGAAATTTAAATTGTGAAATAATCTAAACAAAGTGTTTTATGGAATATATAACAAACAATAACAAATACACTCCGACTTACAAAATGTCATGTCAAAATAAAGAAAGGAATAAACAAAAAATGAGCAAACGAATAAAGGAAAAAAGACAAAATGAATTATAGATAATGCATATATAAATAATGATATAAAACTTACTTTCCACAAGAGAACTATAATAATAGCTAAGACAATAATAGCACTAACAACAGCAACAGGAATAACCCATGGYGCGAGTTCTGTTTTACGTTTTGATGTAAAACCTGGATTTATTTGAGTTGATACCTGTAAGGAAWGGCCAAAGAGTCAGTTTATTACTATTGGTTTGAGCTCTTAGTCTAGTTATTTTGTAACGTTAAATGGGTTTTCAGATGACACACTGTAATATTCAATAACTAAAAGCACTCTATTATCAATGATAGAATCTTTTATACAATATGTGGAGACTGCAAACTCTAAAAGTGTGAAAAAGGTAGTGCAATATATAGTGCAGATTGGACATCACAAAACCAGAAAACAAAGGGAATTGGATAATTTAGTACATGCAATTTAGCACTTTTTGATTACTAAAGTTTTTCATGGTTTTASTGTTTGCACTCTAGCAAAAATKTGTGTGGCAAAGTTAATATRAAASTTAAGATAAAATAGAGCATCATGTATCATGTATGCAATAAGCTCAATGACACTTACCAAAGCATTGTTGTTATCTGGWTYTTGTTCTTGAACAAAAGTCACCAAAGATTTGACACTAGCTCTTGAAATGACCTTGGCATAGTCTCCGTAGTAGTCCTGAAGAAAACACCAGGCATTGTTAGTGTGGAACACAATACACAACAAACCAAAACAATATAGTTAACTATAAACTTAAAGGTGGAAAGAAGCCAGAGAACCATGAATTACGGATTAGTTACTGATGGATTAGAATGATAAACATAAGGAGAAGATATGGATATTAAAAATAAACCATTTTGCAAATCAAAGACAAAAAGAAAATATCAGACCTTCTGCACGGCATACCATCACTATGACAACCTGTGCAACAAGATCAATTTGACAAAATAGCTKATATTCACCTCCAAGAAAGTCCCATTCCATAATCTAGACCTGACGGTGAACTCAACTACATCTCCTTTAGATAGCTTCTTCATTGTACACCGTATTGGAGTACATTTTGCTGTTTTTTCTTTTGATTGACAGTCCTACAAGAAACACAGTAGCAACCTAAACAGAGGGATCTCTTSGTGKAAATAGYCAAGAAACAAGGGACATACCAGTATGATATTTGCCCTGCCGCCTTGCTTGACAGGCTCAGATGTCTGACGTTTTTCTTTATTTTCTTTCTCTTCTAATTGTTCTGTTTCTCTTCTTTCTCTGCTCAAAACGCCACCCTCTAGATCTTGTGCTGCTACAATAGTGTTATTACGACTTGATACGGCTAGAGTGTTTAGCTTTTTCTGTAGTGAATATATCAGAAACAAACATAATTATACTTAGATAACGACTGAGTGAGATACAGTACATGCCTACAGATTCATGTGTGTGTAAGTAATATGCACTTATACTCACCTTTAAATTAAGCATATTAATCTGACCAGGCAAAAAATGACACTTCCCTTTTCCAGTCACCTAAATGATAATAAAACAAACATGACTATGAATACAGTATGATAACAAATGACTTCTGAATCTTAATGTTTCTTACCAAAACATCCATGAGATACAGAAGATGCTTGCCACTCTTTGCTTCATAAGGCCATTGAATCACTATTTCAGCCTCTGGTACAAGGTCTGGGCCAMGRTTCTCAACCTRCAATAAGAAAATATRCYGGTTGATCATTATTTGAAGAATGATGGAGSCAATGATTAACAAATGYAGTCAACTGTTTTCATGACAGACACTACTATTATTCATGAAGAGTTTTATATTGCAGTTCTAACTTATCATTACAAAACCTGAAACTTCCACTTGAAGTCATTAAACAACAACCGACTACYTAGTCAGGTCCAAGACTCGTAAGGCCCAGACATTTATTCAGTCACATCATGAAAATAAAATAACTGCTGAGCACTTTGTTGCTCTCCTAAAATGATACTTGCATTTACTAAAGAGCCTGTAGCATTGTAAGTTTATTGGTCTCTAGAGTATTTCCCTTTGTGTTACATAAACTTTTCTGGGTCATGTGAGATAGCGACTGTTAGTCATTACAGCAATTAACTAACTTTGATTTTATTTCATGGTTTAACTGTGTTTGCTCTATTTCCAAGTAAATTGCAATAAGGGTCAATGAGAAATTACTTGTCATACGCTATGAAAATCACTTACTTTATAAATGTGTGTGACTTGATTACCAATGTCATCCTCAGTTACCATGGCGCTCTCGCCAACAACTTGTCCTCCATACAGCACCTGCTCCTGTCCATCACCTCTGTTAACAACAACAATACATGACTTGTTAGGTTTTTATTCTTTCTTTACATCCCAGAGAGAAGAGACATGATGTGAATCATGAAGAATGACCAAAACATTTTCCGACTACATTTTTTGCCAACATAAACTTTCCCATATAAACAAAGGTCTTTCTTTGATTGCTATTGTACGTACTTTCTTAAATAAAGTAAGGAAGTCAACAGAGGTCAAATTGCGATGTTAATCAAGCCAAGGGGAATCATGGTCTCTTTGAGTTCATAAGTCATACAGGTTTTCATTCATATACAAGACTTCAACATATTAAGTAAATAATGTAGTCAAGCTAGTAAWACCTGAATCCAGTCACTTTCAAGTCAGCCTTTGATATAATGGATACATTCAGCTTGATTAAATTATCAGCCATGTGCTTTTCAGGTTCTGGATTTGCACTGAAGTAAAAAAAATGCCATTACTGATAGATATAACTGATAGAAACTTGCACACAATACCTGTATACATTAGAAACTATTTTGCTTTTAAACTTTTCATTACTTTTGCATTTTAAATGATTATTGCGACTTTAGTGTGAAAACAAAATCAACTTAATTTCCAATGTCCTGTTTACATGTTGATCATTGCTGATGATACAGAATGTCTAGTACATGATCGAGACATATTTTCATTGTTTTGCTCCAACAGTAAAAGCAAATTTCAATCATTTGATAACCTGAGATAATACTAATTGTATTTTACCTGGATACTTTTAGATTTATTGGTAAAAAGTCCTCAGATTTACTGAAACCACCTGTACTCAATCTAACAGAAAATCGTTTCTGAAAAGGGGAAAACAATGGTAGAGTTACAGTTAGAGTTGCATATTAAGTAAGTTAGAGGTACACCTAACAGGAGTTTTAATACAACTTGTAATTGCAGTAGACGTACCTTTTCTTTGTTTTTGAGAGGATTGGCTATTGGGACTGTGAATATCCTTGTGGTGTTGTCGTCTTCAACAGTCTTTGATGTCACTTTATGGCTGATGGGAAATGCTTTCTGGAAAACAAAAATAAAAAATAAAATAAAATAAATGAATTAATAAATTAATAAACAATGGAATGAAACAAATGAATATTTACACCAGAGGATATACTTTAAAATACATTAAAAATTTAAAGGATCTGTTTAAATTAATTACAGTTAATATTTCTTTCTGTGCATATCAATAATATACATATGTAGAGTCAACTGTTGAAAAATATTATTTTTAGTAAATTAGCCAAATGGTTAGAACAGTACGCATAAGTGGTTGCAACTGAGGCAGGATTTCATTGTGAATTTAAAAAAATTAAAACTTCCTACCAATATACAGCCAATAAGGATACATATATTTCCTCATCACTAGACATGTAACGATTTCAGTTTGTCAGAACAGTTACTTGTCCTGCATCAGTTTTGGGTGATGGATAGCTTCATAATATAGAGGTCTACCCCAGTATCCAAAATCATTGTTAAGTTCTTGTAAGGCCTCACTGGCTAAAAGGTTATAGCATGTACTACAGCATGTAATACATCCATGAAACCAGACTTGTCAGTCGTAATACTCTCAATATAGCATATTTCAATGATGAGAAACATGTTCTTGACCACCTACCTTTGATGCATCAGTTGCATCGTCTACAGATGCGACAGAAACTCCTTCTGGGATAGTAATATGTAGTTCACTTCTATATGCTGATTCACCCTCATTAGATACTGTGATTTCCAGTGGGAAATCTTSCCCACCAACAGCAAGTGTCCTATTGAAAACAATAAAACCACACTAAATTAATATTAGTGACTTTAAAGTGCTACTTGCATGAAAATGGCCTTATTTCAAAACTTCAAGCAATACAAATATATGACTCATTGATATCTATGTATTAAAAACAATTGCGGGAAAATATTTGTTTTGGAATTATCCCACTCAGATAAATTTTGATTCAAAAGATGAAAGAACAAAAGGATGGAGTAAATGACGTCATCTACTCCAACATTTWTTGTCCAAATTATCAAGGATTTGTATCAATATCTTCTTGAAATCTGTTGCTTCATGATTATTAGACCTATATGGATAGGTCTATTTGATTTCTAAGTCTTTTCTAATGATTCGAAATTTTCGTCCAAGCAGCCCTTTAAAAGCTTAATATGTACTAACTTGGAAAAATCATTTTATGTGGAACATTGCAACATGTTACTGTAACAAAGTTACAATTTCACAACACGACACCCACTCGGTAGAATATCGTGCAATGTTGTGTGGCTATTTTCATTTATTTTTCATGCTTCACTACTATGACATTATATTGTCCATGATTGTAGTAATTTGATGTATAATAATATAAAATAATGGCATTTATTTKTACTTTTTCATAAAATATAATGAAAGTGATATTTAATTACTTTGGACTGGTTTGCTGAAGCATCAAATTTGGTACACACTTGATACAATCTCTTTGGAATGGTAACTAAAAACAAAAGCAGAAGAAGCAATATTTAATAAGATCTATGTAAAGTAATACTGYAGTTTTATTTCTCATCTTACAATAGCATTTGTAAAAGTCTTTTTCTGCTCTTCTAGCATGGCATAATCTGCTATTGGTGGAAGCTGYTGTGGTGCTGCAGTTGGAGGAGTTGATGGTTGGTGCATTTTGTAGAATATTCTAAATGTAATATCTGGATATATATCCTCTACTTTGGTCTACAAGAACAATAAGAATATAGTTCAAAAAGTGTTAAATGTTTAATGTTTAGGTATATTTTTTAAACCCTTATCATATCAAGAGCTGATCGAAAACAGCCATTCCAAAACTAGATAATGGCGGTGATGTATTATATTTGTGATGTATTATTGAATTAGTATGAGTTGGCATCAATACCAAATAAGGTTGCATGAGCAAGTCATGTTGCTGCCAGAGTTGTGATCAGAGCCGTTGCAAAGTCATACAAAATCATCTGTAAATGTACAATATTTGAGCACAAAATACAATATCACTGTTTGATTAACTAATTATAATGCTTACCCTTAAGAACACATATTCCACAAAGCATTCCTCAGMAGGAAAACGGGGAAGTCCTGTCAATTTTTTGTTGTAAACAGATCCTAATGTAGCATTAAATAATACTCGTGCTTTCTTGTTGTACTCAACGTCAGATTCAATTCTTATGTCTGCACCTAAAAAAAACAAGGAGAAACTTAGTGTATGTGAGTGACTGGTATTCCTCAAATGACTTTTAATTACATATCTAAGTTTTTTATTGCTAGGGAATGAGAATGTTATAGAAATAAAGGAAAGTTATACTAGTGCTTGGAAGAAGGTTATTCTGGGAGAAAGATCCTTGGAAATAAATGCAGAAAAATTAATTTCTGACCTCGCTGGGATTCAAACCCTTGACCCTTGTATTTGTACTACTAACCAATGCTCTACCAGCTGAGCTACAAGGTCATACTGGGGGTAGATCAGGGTGAAATAGATGTTAGGTTGYGGTAATTAGAATGTAAAGATATGAATGAGAATGTTAGTCATATATCTAAGTATGATGTTTTTAGACTGTAAGCAATCTCTTTGAACAGTGCTTAAAAAATGCTTAACTTATTATTGCTTACAATTTCTACTACTACTGATTAAATACATACTCAATTTTTGTGTTAGCTTATTCTTTCGTTCTTTGTAACCTAAGCATATCTTTAGAGACATACTGAAACAAAACAAAACATGAGGAAACACAATAAGAGATTTGCACTACCAAAATTATGCCTGTATTCTACAAACCATCCATGATATAATAGGTATAGTTACAGATAACTTCAAATAGCTTACCATGCTGTTTTTATATTCTTTCCTTGGTACTTGATATCACAGTTTGTACTTCTAATATCAAGGGGCTTGGGGTCAATGGTAGCATTGGCGACCATCTCAATAATTGGCCTGGACCTAGAAAAACATAATGCCATCAATACAAAGTTGATCATCTTAGCTGTAAATGGATCTAGGATGTTGTGATTTGGTAAACAGCTATTCCCTTGTGCCATGTTGAATGATTTACCCTGTTTCCAGAGGTTTGATATTTTCTCTCTTCGCTATTGTTTTTGTCAGCGCGAAGCACCGTAAGCGAGGCTGTAAGACCAAGAGAGAAAATATCAAACCTCTGGAACCAGGGTATAAATGATTGCATAAATTTCATATATCCAAAAAAGTTGCATCACACTCAATTGGAAATAACAGCTATTTTCACTTGCACCATATGTCGAATGTTTGAGCAAATTTCATAACTCCAAAAAGGTGAAGTCACACTTTACCACTCTGTTAGTAATATATTTAATAAGCTAATGTGAATACATTTGCATGGCATCTAAATGAGAATTTTTGTAGAAACAGAATTAGAGACACTTCCAGCAAAATGCACAGATCTTCTATGACCCATCACCCACTTTTCTGCTTCATCTTTCCCGCGAAACCCACAGAGGATCATTTATCTGAGATTTGTTGTGAAGTTATCAAGTATGTATTTTACCTTAACAAAGCAATCTTATCTGATTCGAATGCTCCAATCACAAGATCTAAAAGAAAATAGATAATTTATAATAGATAGTGCAGCTTTTTGATAAAGAATCAAAATATTGTTAAATATCAAAACACATAAAAAATACACTTTTATAGTCTTTTTGGCAACTTTTTTTATGTTCACCATTTGAGTATCGGAAATCTTTAAAAAACAATAATTTGTACAGCGTTTAACTCACCTGGATAGCCATTTTCATCCAAATCAGTATCACCAGAGATAGAATAGCCAAATGACGTCATGTTTTCCTTCAAGTCAGATGGTTTGATTATCTGCAGGGCATAAAATTGTTACAACGTGATGCTACAGAAAAACAAGCTTCTTTTACAATTCATTGTTGTCAATACCTTTATGTTGTGGTTTGAAATTTGCATTGGTTTGAAATTTTTTTGAACTGGTTTTAATTTTTTCATTGTATAGCCTTCCCCAATAACCCTAAAACCAGAGTTAGTTACTAACTCTGCCAAAACAAACCCCAAAGTACTAGAATTATAGCCTTCCCAAATATTAACCCTAAACCTAACCCCAAGGTACTAGAATTATAGCCTTCCCCAATATTAACCCTAAACCTAACCCCAAGGTACTAGAATTATAGCCTTAATTTTCCCAAATATTAACCCTAAACCTAACCCCAAGGTACTAGAATTATAGCCTTCCCCAATATTAACCCTAAACCTAAAACTTTAAACTGGAATTTCAAACCAGTTTGAAAAATTCAAACTGTTTTGAAAAATTCAAACCAGTTTAAAAAATTTCAAACCAAGGCAAATTTAAAACAACAACATTTATACTGACTATGCCTCTTGCATGCAGAAATATTTTTAATATATTTATTTAATATATACAAAAGATTGTTTCCACTGGTCGAGAAGCTGTTCAGTTTTCAGCAACTGTTCTACTAGTTTTTGAATTATTCTAAAAACCCATTTACAATTGCGATTTTTGGAGAGCGATTGTCAGGCGACAATTGCTTGAGTTTCAAACATGCTTGAAATTTAGCTGGAACTACAATCAAAAATCTCTGAAAATCTCTCTCGCACGGCAAAAATTGCAAGTGTAAACAGGCTTTAAAGAATAGAAACTAGTTTAATTTCCTTTGTAAGATTACCTGAGCTGGGGTTTYTATCAGTCCTTTGGAAGATCCATTGAACACATATACTACTCCTGAGGTATCTTCATAGGGTGCCCCAATAGCTACATCTAAGAATACAAAAAAATAATATTAATTAAGATAACATGGTAAGTAATGGAGCCCTCTAGAAGTGAAGAAGTATTTTAAAAGATCTTTGTTGGTTGTATTTTTCATATTTATACGCAGTTTGTTTAATCAACCATGAATAATTTTAAACTTCTTTCCAAGCTTTCGACCTAAGCGGTCATCTTCAGGGAACACAAAGACGTTACAAAAACAAAAACAAAAACGCATACAAACTGAAATGAAACTACTTTTGCGCACGCAATAAAGACAATACGCGCGCTGTTGCAAGTAACAGACTAAAGAGTACATAGTATACAGTAATTAATAGTCACTAGGATACACAAATGATTGTAGATGTTAAACACATTTGATGAAAAACAATACAAGTAAATCAAAATTTATATATTTGTCTTTAATGAGAATTGACTTGTAGTATCTTTATTTTTGTCTTTTGTATTTGACACATAGTATTGACTAGCGTTGATAACACTAAACATTTGCCAGAATGTAAAAAAATAAATACCAACATGTAATAGTCTCCTTCATGGTTACCAGCACCATCTTGAAAGGTAGCCATGCCTTTGCATTGAAGCGAGACAACCGTTGAGCATGCAATGATAGAAACCTTCTTTCACACCTAAAGACATTGATTCACAGGTTTCGTCATTGCACACTTAACGTTTGTCTCGCTTCGAAGTAAAGGCACGGCTACCGTTCAAGATGGCGCAGGTAACCGTGAAGGAGACTATTACACTCTGACAACCGTTTTTGAAACACACTCAGGTAACTTTATCAGAGAACTCAGAAATACTGAGATATATGTTTTTTCTTGATATTTTTGAATTAATGACATSATTTACCTTCATAACCATCTTGATCTAGATCTCCTACACGTGATATGACATGACCAAACCGAGCCATGTTCTTTGATACGCTAGGAGCCAGTTCTAATGTTTTCTCAAACTCTCCATTTCCTTTGTTCATATAAACAAACACTCTTCCTTCATTTACTGAACCTTTTACATAGTAGAAGGGAGCTCCAACTAAGATATCACTCCAACTGTGGAAACAATATTTATAACTCATTAACTTTGGTGATAAATTTTACACAATTGTCATTACCTAATGTAAAACTGGAAACCACCAAATAAAACACTCTTATGCCTTATGTTTTAAACTATATACTTAATATGCACATTAAGGACATGCTGGATAATAAAGAGAACATTCAAAAGGCGCTGAGCTTGCGCATTATGCCTCCTGCATAAGAGAGATTTATAAGCATCTTATTCACAGCAGAAACATCAGAAAAAAATGTGTTCGTTTTTAATAATTGTTAATTATTTCATTAAAAACAATATTTCATCTTACCCATCATTRTTGACATCGATTCCAGCAACAGAGCTACCAAAACCTGAACCAGGCTGTCGTAGACCTTTCACTTCGGGAGAAAGGATTACTTTRTGGGTCTTGTAGTCATCTTCCTGACTGAACACTACAACCTTATATAGTAAATATAATAGTTTAATAATAATATTTTAATACTGATAAAACTTGTAAATAATATAGAAAACCAGTGTTAAAAAAAATGCATGTTAAAAAAAATGCAATAAGACAAAACAAAACAAACTTTTACCATTCCATGATGTTTGTGTCTTGGGGCTCCAGTAACAAGATCTGAAATCAAACGTTT